CCGGTGCCGGTGCCATGGGGCCCTGGGCGCTGGCGCTGCTGCTCGGAGCGCTCCGGAGCGGCGCGGCCCCGGCCCCGGCCCGCAATGTGCTGCTGCTCCTGGGTGAGTGCGGCCGCGGGCCCGGCCGAGCCCCGGAGCCGGTTCCGTGTCCGCGCCCGTCTCCCCCAGCCCGGGAACCCCCTGCCTGGGCCGCCACGCGGGTCCCGCTGCATCCCCTCCGCTGGGACGGTCCCCGCAGCACCGGCCCCAGCCCGGGTCACCCGCAGCCCGGGGATGCTGTCGGTGTCATTCGCGTCCCCCGGGCTTTGCCCCCGCACCTGGTCAGGGACGCGCCCCGGGCTCACCCCGCACCCCTCCCGCCGCAGCCGATGACGGGGGCTTTGAGAGCGGCGCCTACAACAACTCGGCCATCCGGACGCCCAACCTGGACGCGCTGGCCCGGCGTGGTGTGGTCTTCCAGAACGCCTTCACCTCCGTCAGCAGCTGCTCCCCGAGCCGGGCCAGCATCCTGACCGGCTTACCACAGGTAGGGGCACCGCCAGCCCCCGGCATTCCTGTGGCACAGTCCCAGGACGGGGCGACCCCCCCCCGCCTGCTGGCCCACCCTCTTCCCAGCCCCCAGGACGTGCTGCCCACACTGAGAGCACGGCTGGATGTGTTTTGGGGGCAGGCTGGCAGCCCTTGTCCAACCGTGCTGTGTCCCCTCACCTGCAGCACCAGAACGGGATGTATGGACTGCACCAAGATGTGCACCACTTCAACTCCTTCGAGGGCGTGCGGAGCCTGCCCCACCTGCTCAGCCAAGGGGGTGTCCGGACAGGTAGGGAGCCAAAGGCAAGGGACAGGGGAAGGGAAACCCCCCCTTGGTGCACCAAACCCCAGTGAGCGAGACAGCTTGATGGCTAAACTGCCTGTGAGCCAGAGAACACCCCCGGACCTGTGCCTGTCCCCCAGGGAGGAGACAGTGGTAGCCATGTCCCCCCATCCCCCTGCTCCTGGCACACCACTTGTCTCTGTTCGTGCAGGGATAATTGGGAAGAAGCATGTTGGGCCAGAGGCTGTGTACCCCTTCGACTTTGCCTACACAGAGGAGAACAGTTCAGTCCTGCAGGTTGGGAGAAATATCACCCGGATCAAAGCGCTCGTCCGGCGGTTCCTGCAGAGCCAGGACGAGAGGTGAGACGGCCTCCACATCCCAGTTGGTCTGGGTCACCCCATATCCAGAAGCCCAGACTAGGTGGGAGTCCTCCTGCCAACCCCAGCTCGTCCCAGCAGAGGGTCTCAGGGGTGTGGGCAGCCCTTTGCTCCACCACCTCCACCCTTTCCATCCCTAGGCCTTTCTTCCTCTACGTCGCCTTCCATGACCCCCATCGCTGCGGGCACTCCCAGCCCCAGTACGGGGCCTTTTGTGAGAAATTTGGCAACGGAGAGAGTGGGATGGGCTGGATCCCTGACTGGAAGCCACAGATTTACCACCCAGAGCAAGTGCAGGTGGGATACCTGTGGGGCTGTGTGGGGCCCTGTGGGGGCTGCATGTGACAGCAGCCTCTGATGGAGCCAGGGCTGGCCCCCACCTCATCACTGCCAGCAGCATTATAGGCCAGAGCTGGTGAGGGCCACCATGGTGGACCTGTGACCTCTGTCCCCGTGGTGGCCATGTGCCACTCTCCCCTTCTCCACTTAGGTCCCCCCCTTTGTTCCTGACACGCCGGCTGCCCGGGCCGACCTGGCTGCCCAGTACACAACCATCGGGCGCATGGACCAAGGTAGGAGCTGCGGGGCCAGGCTGGCACTGGTGAGTGCTGCAGACCCTCCTGCCCCCCTCAGCTCTGCCCCTCCATCCGCAGGGATCGGGCTGGTCCTGGAGGAGCTGCGGCGTGCCGGCTTCCACAACAGCACCCTGGTGATCTACACCTCTGACAACGGCATCCCCTTCCCCAGCGGCAGGACCAACCTCTACCGCTCGGGCACTGCTGAGCCGCTGCTCCTCTCGTCCCCTGAGCACCCCCAGCGCTGGGGGCAGGTCAGCCAGGCCTTTGCCACCCTCCTGGGTAAGAGCCCGTGCCTGCAAGAGGGAGCAGAGCTGGGCCTGGGGGCTGTGGACTGCTCCCCACGCCAAAACCCAGGGTCTTGTCCCAGGGGCAGCCCTTGCATGGGAGAGGAGGGAGGACAGAACAGGGTCCCCTCTGGGACATCATCCCAGGGCTCAGCTCTGCAGCTCATCCCAGGAGCAGCCACAGTCCATGCAGCTGCAGACCCAAGGGACCACTCTGCCCCTGTCCAGGTTGTTTCCTCCCACGGTGCCAGTCCCTCTTCTCACCCTTCTCTTCCCCTCCAGATCTGACGCCGACCATTTTGGACTGGTTCTCCATCCCCTACCCCTCTTACAGCATCTTTGGCACAAAGCAGGTGCAGCTCACTGGAAAGTCTCTCCTGCCAGCACTGGAGTCAGAGCAGTCCTGGGCCACCGCCTTCAGCAGCCAGAGCCACCACGAGGTGACCATGTACTACCCCATGCGAGCCATCCAGCACCGGCAGTTCCGCCTCATCCACAACCTCAACTACAAGATGCCCTTTCCCATCGACCAGGACTTTTACATCTCGCCCACTTTCCAAGACCTGCTCAACCGCACCAGGGCCGGGCAGCCAACCCACTGGAACAAGACCCTGCACCAGTACTACTACCGGGAGCGCTGGGAGCTCTTCGACTGCAGCCGCGACCCCACCGAGAGCCAGAACCTGGCCCCCGACCCCCGCTACGCCGACATCCTCCAGCTGCTCCGTGTGCAGCTCCTCAAGTGGCAGTGGGACACGGGGGACCCCTGGGTGTGCGCCCCCGACGCTGTCCTGGAGGAGAAGCTGAGCCCCCAGTGCCGGCCGCTGCACAACGAGCTGTGAGCGTCACCTCTGCCGCCGTCCCCGTCGGGCACGAGGGGTTGGAGTGGGATCACGGATGGACCAGTCCCTAATCCCTGGGTGACACCACAAGGCTCTGCTCTCTGTATCACCCACACCACCTGGCCCCAGAGCACTCAGGGACCCTGGTGCCTTTCCTCCCAGCCAGAGGAGCCGTAGGGCCAAGCTGCCCCTCCGTAAAGCTTCTGGAGGACAGGGCTCCATTTCTCCCTGGAGCTGAGCACGTCCCTGCAGCAGCCCCTGGCTTGGAGCCAGCAGGACAACAGGACAAGGGGCTCTGTGGTGCAGCCAGGGGGCCCCCAACGCTCTGGGAAATGGGGTGAAGCGTGTGAGGGGCACAGGCAGCCCTGCTGGAGGCCTCCAGGCAGGGAGGGAACCAGGGTGTCCCAACCAGGGGCACAGGGCTGAGCCACAGTTCAGGACCAGCAGGGGCAGAGGGGACATGGGCACAGCCTGGGGCTGCTCCCAGCAAACAGCAGCTTTATTCATAGCACTGCTCCCTCCCACCCTGCACATCCCCCTCCCCAAAGCCACAGCCAGGAGACTCCCCACAGGCCCCCCACAGGTTACCAGTCCCCCACAGAAACAGGTTTGCTGTCTCACAAGGCACTTGGGTCTTTTTTTCCCTGATTTGAGGATGATGAAGTTTCCCCTGTCCCTGGGGGTTGTGCAAGCCCCCCCTCCCTGTGCCAGTCCAGTGCACACACCTCCATTGCCTCATGGCAGCCGAAGTCCAGGAGCTGCTTAGTGTGGGAAGAGCAGTGGCAGCTCTGGGTTGTCAAGGGATGGGATGGATTCAGCCCCAGAGCCAGGGGGAGCAGCGTGGCCTCTCCCTGTGACCGGTGGTGGCTCAGGACCAAGAGATCACAAACTGCTCCCACATCGGCAGCGACACAGGGACTCTCAGCACCTGAGGGGCAGAAGGAAGGGTTGGCAGCAGGCAGAGCCAGCTGGGAAGGAGCCTGGGAGGTGTCTGAGCCGAGGGAGGTGTCCTGTCCCCATACAGAGCCACAGCCTGGCATGGTCCTGATCTCACAGAGACCCTGAGAAGGGCATCCATGGCAGGCAGCCCCAGGAGCAGAGCTGTGCTGCTGCTCCACTCAGAGCTCCAGCCCCATCACCACACAGCCTTTCCTTCCTCCATCTCCCCATCCTCACTCCTGTCATGGTCTAATCCTGCCCAGCCCCAGAGCAGTGACCCAGCCTGTGTTGACAGAGCTGGTGCTGTGCCATCGCTGGGGCCAGACCTCGCCAGCCCCTCAGCTGTGTCCTGTCCCTTGCCAGCCACCACCCCCTCCCGGGGGGATATGAGCACTCACCTGGGTGTCACTGCGGTAGGAGAAGTCGCTCACGATGGCACCGTTGGCCAGGACTTGCCGGGGAGGGCTGGAGACCCCCAGCACAGTCACAGCCTCCAGCAGGACCCCGTCGAGGTGGGGGCTCCCCCGCAGCAGCTGGCTGAGCACGGCACCCTGGGGCACAGCGGGGATGTCACCGTGTGTTCCCGGGTCACAGCCGCCCCACGGGCACACAGGGC